AAAGAAGTAAAGAGGGTGGAGAAGGTCTTTTATTGTTATTTCAGAGGTTGAGGTGGGCTGGGTACTTAGCCTACTTTTCTTTCTGTTCTGATTTTCTCGAGAAAAAGGACTTTTTTGGTCAGTGGGGATGCAATAAAGGGCCAATACGTACTGTGTCCGGGTAGGCTAGAATTTTTAGCGGTCAGACCACAGAGGCCAGCTTCTTGGCCTGCGGACGGCGGCCCCTCCTCGCTCTGTTCCGGCTCTCGTGTGCTATCCTTTCCTTGATCTCCAAGCCGGGAAATGAACTCACACTGATGGCAGTTACAGTTCAAAATAATTGATTTCCTGTATTCCAAATTTTAAAGCAGACAACGCTTCAAGTTTTAGCTCTTCTTACAAGGTGCAACATAGAGATGTGTTTCCAGGCATTGCTGAAGGGGCCGGTGGCCGCAGGGAAACACTCAGAGCACAGACACGCACGCCCACTCTCCTACCCCCGTGAACCAAAATCCATACTGCAGGTAGAATGCGTTCAGATCGGTGGTTTTCTCACAACGTTCAGGTTTGAACATCCAGGTTAATTATGTAAATGCTTCCGAGGTGACTAGGGACTTTTATAAAGGGAGGTGTCAGTGAAGGTGGATTTCTGTGGTTCAGTGAAGACACGGAAATATCATTGCTGCACTTCCCGTGGTCATCGCTCAGCAAAACCCACACGTGAACCTTGCAGCCTTCCATAGAGTAAACAGATACAAAGTACCTACATTGGCTGACTTTTCTTTCTTCCCTTTTATGATTTTAGGCATTTTAGACTTGAGTATGTTTTCCTGCTTCAGGAGAATTTATGCTTGTGATTAAGATCACATTTTCTAGTTAAATACTGTTCCTCACGTATCGCCTCATTACCCAGGGGCACTTAAGATTTTGTTGGCGAGATGAGTTGGTTAATGTTCGGTGCTGGGGATTGGTGATTAAGACGAAGAAGCTTGAAATGCATATCTTTCACGACTGGAAGTCTTGCTGAGGGTCCTTTGGTGTAAATCCTTTGCAGATAGCACGTCATCCCCTTTGGATCTGCTTCTGTCATACGTGGTGTCCTGATCACTTTCCGAGTCACCCGTTGGTGAGATCGGGATTCCTGCCCGAGGGTTCCTGGGATGGCTGAACGCACGACACCTGACACTGGACAACGGAAGTTGAGAGCAGTTTATTAGTTCCATGTGCTCACTGCTCAGGCGAGCAGGACACCGCATGCCAGGCAGGGCCTCCGGACGGCGACATCAGGAACATAGTGAACCAGCAGGGATGGTGGGAGGCAGGCTTTCATAGCATCAGGAGGGCGCGGTGACCCCTGGTTCCCAGAGGGGAGATGTGATTGGCTCTGGCAGGACTGGAAACCCACTCCTCAGGGCTGAGCCGGAGCTGCACCCGGGCCTCTGGGAGAAGGATTGCTTTGCTGGGGCTTTGTCTGCAGGAGCAGAGTGTGGAGGGGAACTTGACGTTAGGCCTTTGAGGCTCACTCTGTTTCGCCAGATGTCAGAGGCAGCACGTGATAGTAATTTCAGGGCTTAAACCACGCACGGGTTGTATAGAGCCACCCAGACTCCTTTGGGACATCAAACCATGAGCCGCTTTATGAATTGCAGTTAGAGGCATGCACACGCCATTTGTGTCCGGAAGCCTGTGTACATTTGTTATGTATGAACCCTTAGACTTGCTGTGTCCTTTGTTCTTTTCTTATTAAGTATTTAAATTATTTTTAAGAAAGCAGTTTTGCTTTAAAGTGTTAATAGCATGACCTCCCAAATTCATAGTGCAAGTCGCTGGGAAACTGAACTCTGGAAGATTTCCAAGAGGCAATTTTCCTTAAGGAAAAACACAGACCTCCTTGCCCTGTAGATGCTGCATCGTGGTGAAACCCCCACTGAGGATGAAAACTAGTTTTGGTATTTTTGATGTTTCTAAATGAGTTCATAAAAAAATGATAGAAAGCACTGAAGAAGTAACCGTTATAATTTTTATACATTTTAGGAGAAGAGTTATTTACTTTATATTTCTACTTTGTCAAGGAGATGAAACAGTCCTGGTGAAAAGGCAGGTGGGACAGTTAAATGTTACAGTCCCTAATTCGGATCCTTCCTACACAGCCTTACACATCCCTGGTTTCTCACACACAGAAGCCTTTCGCACCGCTTGACCACGTAGTGGTTTCTGGACTTGATTTAGAAAGAAACCAACCTCGATTTGGTGAAGGTGTGGGGCGGACGTGCACTGAGGGTGGCTGCGTTGTGGGACTGTCGTGAGGATCTCCGGGGGGTGCAGCTGCCTGACGCCACTGTTGCCCCGCCTGTCCCCGCAGGCCTCCATCTGCCGGAGCAGCCAGCCCCTGTCCGGCTTCAGCGCCCGCTGCCTGGAGGATGAGCAGATGCTCCAGGCCATCAGGAAGGCCAACCCAGGAAGCGACTTCATTTACGTCGTGGACACTCGGCCTAAAGTAAGCGTCACCACTCTGATGCGTGTTTCTGCGGCTCTGAACCGTGAGTGGGGCGCAAGGGCACTCACTGACCGCCCTCGCCCACTCGGGTCGCCCCCTCTGCGCAGGGGCTGGTTCACGGCTGCCTCCTGGGGTCCTGAGCTGCTGAAGGGCCCAGTGACAGCAGGTACCTTGGATATTTCCTGGGCACCGAGCCCTGTGCAGGGAACATGGTACACACGACAGACAAGTGTGGGTTAATGTTGGAAACTGCTCTCCTAACTATTCCAAGTTGTTTTGGTTTGTTTATAAAAGAACTTTTTCTTTTCTTTTTCTTTTATTGAAATACAGTTTTTGTTGTTGTTGTTGTTCTACAAAAACTTCATTTTATTTTTTAACTTTTTTTATTGATTTATAATCATTTTACAATGTTGTGTCAAATTCCAGTGTAGAGCACAATTTTTCAGTTATACATGAACATATATAGATTCATTGTCACTTTTTTTCTCTGTGAGCTACCATAAGATCTTGTATGTATTTCCCTGTGATATACAGTATAATCTTGTTTATCCATCCTACATTTTGAAATACCAGTCTATCTCTTCCCACCCCCCGCCCCCTTGGCAACCACAAGTTTATATTCTATGTCTGTGAGTCTATTTCTGTTTTGTATTTATGCTTTGTTTGTTTGTTTGTTTTAGATTCCACATATGAGCAATCTCATATGGTATTTTTCTTTCTCTTTCTGGCTTACTTCGCTTAGAATGACATTCTCCAGGAGCATCCATGTTGCTGCAAATGGCGTTATGTTGTCGGTTTTTATGGCTGAGTAGTATTCCATTGTATAAATATACCACATCTTCTTTATCCAGTCACCTGTCGATGGACATTTAGGCTGTTTCCATGTCTTGGCTATTGTAAATAATGCTGCTATGAACAGTGGGGTGCAGGTGTCATCCTGAAGTAGGGTTCCTTCTGGATATATGCCCAGGAGCGGGATTCCTGGGTCATATGGTGAGTCTATTCCTAGTCTTTTGATGAATCTCCATACTGTTTTCCACAGTGGCTGCACCAAACTGCATTCCCACCAGCAGTGAAGGAGGGTTCCCTTTTCTCCATATTGAAATATAGTTGATTTATAATGTCATGTAGTTTCAGATGTACAGCAATGTGATTCAGTTACACATATATGTGTACATATGTATGTATTCTTTTTTGGATTCTTTTGCATTATAGGTTATTATAAGATATTCAGGATAGTTCCCTGTGGTATACAGTAGGTCCTTGGTGGTTACCTATTTTATATATAGTAGTGTGTATATATTAATCCCAAACTCCTAATAGATCCATCCCCCGCCCCTTTCCCCTTTGGTAACTGGAAGTTTGCCTTCTATGTCTGTGAGTCTTTTTCTGTTTTGTAAATAAGTTCATTTGTGTCATTTTTTTTTAGATTCCGCATATAGGCGATATCATTTGATATTTTTCTTTCTCTTTCTGACTTCATTTAGTATGATGATCTCTAGGTCCATCCATGTTGCTGAAAATGGTACTATTTCATTCTTTTTATAGCTGAGTAAGTAATATTTCATCATATATATATACATACGTATACCACAGCTTCTTTATCCAGTCGTCTGTTGGTGGACATGTAGGTTGCTTCCATGTCTTGGCTGTTGTATGTAGTGCTCCTATGAACACTGGGGTGCACGTATCTTTTTGAAATATAGTTTTCTCTGGATATATGCCTAGGAATGGCATTGCTGGATCACATGGTAGCTGTTTTTAGTTTTCTAAGCAACCTCCATGCTGTTCTCCACAGTGGCTGCACCAATTTACATTCGCACCAGCAGTGTAGGAGGGTTCCTTTTTCTCCAAACCCTCTCCAGCATTTATTATTTGTAGACTTTTTGATGATGGCCATTCTGACCAGTGAGAGGTGCTACCTCATTGTAGTTTTGATTTGCATTTCTCAAATTAGCAGTGTTGAGCATCTTTTCATGTGTCTCTTTGCTATCTTTATGTCTTCTTTGGAGAAATGTCTATTTAGATCTTCTGCACATTTTTTGATTGGGCTTTGATTGTTTTTTGTTTTTTAAATATTAAGCTGTATGATCTGTTTGTATATGTTGGAAGTTAATCCTTTGTCATTTGCATCATTTGCAAATATCTTCTCCCATTTTGTAGGTTTTCTTCTCATTTTGTTTATGATTTCCTATGCTGTGCAAAAAAAACTTTTAAGTTTAATTGAGTCCCATTTATATGAAACACCCAGAACAGACCACTCCAGAGAGACAGAAGACAGGCTGGTGGTTGCTTAGGGCCAGGAGATGGGAGGAAGTGGGAGGTGACAGCTGATGGGTAGAGGGTTTCTTTTTGGGTGATTAAAATGTTCTGAAAATAGACTGTGGTGATGGTTGCACAGCTCTGTGAATGCACCAGACACCCTTGAGTTGTACACTTTAAATGGATGAATTGTATGGCATGTGAATTCTGTGTCAATGAGGCTACTAAAAAAAAGAGAGAGAGAGTAAGGACATAAGACACATTAGAACAGGAAGGAGGAAATACGCCCCACGGCCCAAGTCATTTCAGAGTACACACTGTGGTGGGCGTGGGTGATGACAGTCATGGCCTCTGATCGCGGGTGACATGAGAAACAGTGAAAGCTGGAAACGTCCGCTGGGGAGCTCCTCAGACTCTGGCAACCGCGTGGCTTCTCTGAGCCTCATTTCATCAGCTGTTGTGATTCATGGTCTTGATCACTTAATTTGATGTCTTCCTGGTGTCCGATCAGTGCCCTTCCTCCCACCACTGACCTCAGGACAGTCCCTCCGGCCTGAGGGATGGGCGCCACGGGGTAGATGTGGGCGGAGCAGGGTGGAGGGTGTTACTGTGAGATGCCAGGGCCGCATCTCCATCCTGGAGGTCAAGGACAGAGCAACGTCCATGCAGCTGGATCACGTTCAACTAGATCTTATGTCAAGGTTGCCCATCCTTTTAGATAAATTCTCAAAATCCAACAACGGTGAAAGAGCTCAGACTGGGAAAAAATAGCTTCTCTGCTTGAAGATTTTCACTCGAAAGGTGCCTGAGTATCTCTTGCTGCTCTCTTTCGATGTATGCTTTTCTCTCTGGGCCATCGTCCTGCTCATCTTGGCTGTTTCCCTCCTGTTCTTTGTACCTTTTTGTGTCAGGCGAGTGGAGCTGCTCTGAATCTCCTAATTGTCAGAGCCGACGGAGGGAAGGCCTGCTTCTTAGTTGCGTGTCCTCAAGACAAGAAAAGGAAAGGCGGGGGCTTTCCTGAGTTGAGATGCCCTTCTCCCATCCTGTTCTTCCAGATTTAAAGGCGAGCAGATTCGCCTGCGCACTTAAGGGCCAGTGATCCAGGTGTGCGCTGCGTTCTGCAAACCTTCTGGGAAGCATGGTGGCTGTTGAGCCAGGCCTGGTCGGGATTTAAGATAAATTCATCCAGGGGGTTTGACTTGCAGGGCGTGCTTCGTGCTCAGTGTGTTTGGGCCCCGTGGTAAGAAATCTGATGCTGCTCCATTAAAGAAAATCGGGGTCTCATACGAGGCGTGCCCTCTTCCTGTCTACCCAGGCACACACGCCTCCACAGGGGTTTTAAACTGTTTGCTCAGAGCTTTCACTCTTTGAAAGATCATGTCTGTTGACTTTTGTCCCCTGGTAGCTGGGAGACGGGGCCTGTGGGAGCTGTGGGCGGTGGGCACGGCCCGTGGGGCCCTGGCCAGGTTTGCACACAGGTTTAATGAAAAAGGGAAAAGTTAGAATCATTCCTGTCCTTGGGGCAAGGCTCACCCCAGACGCTGCCTGTTCAGATGAAAGCTTCTGAATTGCTTGTTGAGGTTAAAATTTCAGGAGGCAAAGGCAGTGAGGTCCTCAGCATGTACTGAATATCTGTTAAAAAAAAAAAAAACCCACACCCTTCAGGTGACAGGGTGTTGTCTGTGGTCATTTGTTGATTGAGCTTGCCCTTCCATGCTTCATCATGAGCTTAAGGTGGCAGGAACAGCTTTTTATTCACATTTGTATTCCGTCCAGTGCCTGGCACATGGTAGGTGTTTGTTAAGTGACTATTGAGAATGAATGGATTCTTGTTTCGTTTATGAGCTCTTCTGCACCCAAAGATGCTGACGTTATCCAACAGCAGAGTGACCTTGGGTCACTTTTTTTCAGTCCCACTTTAAAGTTGTCTTGTCGTGTTTCTTAAACCTAAACTGAGACTAGAATGCCATTATCTCCGTTGCTTTATCTAGTCGAGAACTTTTTTTAAAAAATTAAACTTTCTATTTTGAGGTGACTGTAGACTCACCTGCAGTTGTAGGAAACAGTGCAGAGAGATGCCTTGTACATGTTGCCCAGTTTCCCCTGGAGGGTAGCATCTTGCAAAACTCTGGTACAGTATTGCAGCCAGGATATTGGTGTTGATACAATCCACCAATCTCGTTCAGATGTCCCCAGTTTCACTTGGAGTCGTGTGTGTGTGTGTGTGTGTGTGTTTAGCTCTGTAACATTTGTATCATATGTGTGTGTTTGTGTATTCAGTACTGCAGTCAAGATACAGAAGAGCTAGGTCACCACAAGTAACCACTGATCTGTCCTTCACCTCTTTCCATTTGTCCTTTCAAGAACATTATATAATTGGAAACATGTAGTATGTGACCTTTTGAGGTTGCTTTTTTAATCACCGTTTGAGGACTGTTAGGAGCTGAAATGAATAGCTTTTTCTTTGGTTGTGAAATGGAGTTCTCAGCCAAAGGAAAGGGACAGGGCACCAAATTAGACTTAGTGTTTTGTTTATATAAGAGACACTCTATCTGAATGAATACACATTTAGGTCCCAGATAGCTTCTGAATTTTTATCAATGAGAAAATTGTATTTTCTGCTTTGAGGATTCAGCTCTTGCCCCATTATCAGAAGAGGTCCTGTGAAATATGTGGAAAGCTTGAGAAAAGTACACTTTGGTTGGTAGATTAAATACTGCCACCTTCTGTTCATTGTGAGAAGTACCACTGACTTTCAGGAGGCCATCTTGTGTTGCTCCTTTGCTTTTGAAGAAGATGGCTTATCAGTAAATTCTCCCAGGTCATAGGTAATCAACTATTAAAAAATGTGAACATAGAGTCCCAGTTGTAGATTATTAAAATAATAATAGTATTTTGGCTTTTATTTATTGCACTGTTTAATAAGTGTATCTCTGCGGTGTGCGGTGAATAGGCTTAACTTAGTCAAGATACGAAATAAACGCGAGGTTCGTGTAGCATAAAGATGCTTGCAAGTATCCTGTTAACTGTTTTATTTATTTATTTATTTATTTATTTATTTATTTATTTATTTATTTATTTATTTTATTAAGTTTTATTTATGAAGCTTGTTGTAAAGGATGAGCCAACAGCTTTGAAAAGGAGTTACACAAACCAGTGGTATTTTTATAATAGTACGTTTCCAAAGAACAGTGTCTACTGGTAATTTTAGGAAGGTTTTCCCCTTAAAATATTTTAAAAATTTAAAGCATGCACGTAAGTTGTTTTAAAAATAACTTCCTTTTTTATGTATTTTTTGTCCTTGAAGAAGGCCAAACCCTTTATTCTCATAGCCTGCCTGGGAGAAAGGGGACCCTCTTGTTGTCAACTGGAAACCGTGTTGCGAGGGGTGGGCCCCAGCTGATGTCACCTGAGCCAGGTCACCGAGCAGGAGCAAAGTGGGAGGCGCCTGCCAGCTGAGCCCCGATGGTGGTGGCCTGCCTCTCCTGTTTTATTTTCACTTCTAATTTTATTTCTATCATTTACATTTTAAACCTAATCTATTCGTTTTGTAACAAAGAACACATCTCAAGTAGCATCTCCAGGTCCCCAGCCATGCGCCACCCCCGTCTCCCTGCGTGACTGCTGCTGAGTTGCTACTGTCTTCCATTCACTCTTACTCCACTTACTCCAACATGCGTGAACAGAAATGCATGTCTGTAGGCTGGTGTTTTACAGAAAATGGGGGCATCGTATGAATATTACCTGGAGCTTCCTGTTCTCACTTAACATGCTGTGGGCTCGGTCCACATCTGTCCTCCCGCCCCTTCCCCAGCCCCAGTATCTGTCCATCTCTGTCTCTAACTCTGTCTCTCTCCTTCTTGGTCCTATTCGTATTAGTCCAGGGTATGAATATTCCATAACTTCTCCGTCATTGCCCTCTTGAGATATTCATAGGTTTTCAAGTGGTTTTTTTTTAACTGTTGACTATTATTTAAAAAAAAAAAGGGTTGCAATAAACATTCTTGGACCTCTGTCTTTATGGGCTGGTATTTTAGTAGTTTTAGATTCTTACAAGTAGGAGATATACTGTGTCAAAGAATATGTATGTTTTTTAGTTAACTTGGCTTTTTAAATTTAGCTTTTTGAAAAGTATTCATATTTTCCCTGTATTGCATTGTGGTCCTAGAAACATATTTTTTTCTGGTGGCGAGTCCTCTGGGTGGGTGAGCCCTCCTGCCCTTTGTGGGCAGAGGAGGATGGTCAGTGAATACCAATGTCTGCGATGTGATGACTCGCTTAGCCAAACAGCAAGAATGGGCATCCATTCTAGAAACTGGTGCATTTCCCAGCTAAGGTGGGACTTGTCCCCCTCATGATTTTAGTTACACAGGAATCAGGCAGAAGTTTGCATTTAATGAATTTCTTCAGAGTCCATTATCATTTAATCAGTTTGCAGTGGGACCTGCCAGTTCCTGTGTGTGAGGTGATGATAATGAATGTGAGATTTAAATAGGGCGGCTGGAGGAAATAGTGCTCAATACTTGGCATCTCTTGGTTTTATTCTGTGACTCCTGCTCGAGGTTTAATTGGCTCTCTGAGGGGTTCTTGTAGGCAGATTAGAATGATGTAACCATTCCTATGCATGGGTGTGTTTATTGGCATTCTAATGCTAGAAGATGCAATAATATAACTTACAGAGCTTTATGTTGCCAACTGTGTCTGCTGATCCTCTTCTGCCAACCTAAGGCTGTAATGTGTGGAGTTAAATCTGGGCACCGGGGCTCCATACAGACTGAATCTGGCATCTCTGACCAGGCGTTCAGGAGGGTTTATCTGTAGAACGCTTCCCAGCTCAGAAAATGCTCCCCACACCAACAACTCAGTGCACCATGTTCCCGGGATTTAAAGCACGTTCCTGCGCGTCACGTTCAGTGTTCTCATGGACACCCATGAAATGTTTTGATTGTTTCATGTCCTGAATATCACTGGTGACTCTTCTGTTTTGCTGACCCTTCAGCTTAATGCGATGGCAAATCGTGCTGCAGGGAAAGGCTATGAGAATGAAGACAATTATTCCAATATCAAGTTTCAGTTTATCGGGATAGAGAACATCCATGTCATGAGGAACAGTCTGCAGAAAATGCTGGAAGGTAAACCATTTCCTTATGCACAGCATTAAAAACATGTTGTTAAAATTTTGTTTTTTGAAGTATAGTTGATTTGCAAAGTTGGGTTGGTTTCTGGTGTGCAGCAGTGATTCAGTTATACATATATGTATATATGTAAAATCTTTTTCATGTTCTTTTTCATTGTAAGTTATTACAAGGTATTGAATAGTTCTCTGTGCGCCATAGAAGGACCTTGTCTATTTCAGTTAAATATTTAAATGCCAAATGGGATAAGGTCATCTCCTGACGTTGAAGTTCTGCTTTACTCTGGTGCTGTTGGCGAGGGTGGGCTCAGTCAGGAGGGATATAGTGCAGCACAGAACCTTGAAATGTTTATCAGTCTTTCTCTTATTTTCTGTGTCATTGTGCAGTGGTTTTGTCACACAGTGGTCCACTGGTGGGCTCTCTCCAGCAGTACTTAATACTCCAGATAAAAGGGATTTTTTTTCTTTCTCCCTCAGAATATTAGTTTGACCCACATTCAAGACCATTTGGAGATAAAGCCACCCTACATTGAAAGCAGTTGCCAACTGTTCTTGTCTGGAGATGAGGTTCATGAACTGAATCCCCGTGGCTGTGTGGCCATTAGAAGGATGTTGGGGGCCCAGGTCCTCCTTTCTATTGGCAGCAACCGCTGCAGTGCACCCCCGCACCCCATCTCCCCCCTACCCAGCAATGAGCACCACGGGACACCTACACACAGGCTTCAATACTCACGGGGAGAGGAAATCACAAAGATGCATTCTGTAATAGACAGGAATTGTTCATGTGGTCAAACCAGCCATCAGCTAATGAGCAGAAATTGTGCGTTTCAAGCAAAACCAGCTTCATCTATGGCTTATGCTCTTGTGACTGTCTCGGCCCTAGCAGGAGCTTGTTGCCAGGTCCACCACTTCTGGGTCTAGTGGGAACCAAGGCAGGAGAGGAGGATGCACAAGGCAGGGCTTCGTGCCTTAGGAGCAGGAGAGGCTGTAACTGCTGCGCTGGTGCTGCTGGGGGAGGCCCTGGCGTGCAAGGCGGGGGCTGTCCTGTCCCAGCAGGACATGTGTGGTCGGGGATGAAGAGGGACAGAGGAAGCGCTGACTTACTCTCTTCTCGGATACACATTTGCTCTCAGTAGCTCCTGCAGTTCTCTGCTCAGTCAGCACAGGATGGCTGAGAAGCTGGCAGTGAGGCTGGAGGAAATTGTCACAGACAAGTCTGCTTTCTCTTCTCCTTCCTGGACTCCTGGGTCTTCTCAGTCCTTACAAAACTCTGAACACATCAGGTACCTTCCTGGGGCTCTGCTGTGATGGGAGAGGATTGGACTAACAGTTTCTGTGGGTCCGTCCAGCCCTGACAGTCTGAATTCAAAATTTGATGCCCCCAGCTGCAAGTTCTCTAAAATTGAGCATTTGAATGGTTAGAAGAACTCTCTTCCTGCATCAGGGAAAAAAAAAAATCACGGCCACAGAGCTCTCTCTGTCTTACTTCTGGGTGGAATTTGCCAGGTCTCAGGTTCTGGGGACGGTGCCCTGGGTGTGATCGAGCTTCGTAAACTTCTGGAGATTCTCATGAGTGGCGTGGATGTCCCTGCTGTGAGCTGGGCTTTCTAGATGTTGAAAATAGGGGTAGCTTGGTCCTGTTACTGAAAGGGCAGATGAAGAGTGTTCACCAGTGTCAGAATCATTAAAAATCATTTATGTGCTTTGTATTTTTCATTTAGTAATATCACCAGCTGACTTTTGAGAATACCCGTGTTCTTCTATGCAGAGGGCAACTCCTGAGCGTGCGTGTAACATGGCAATTGGGCTTTTGTTTTAAAATGACCTTTTACTTGGTTTCTTACTAGGAACCATGTCTCCTGCCCTCATACATCTGGTCTGACTCGTGGTTTCTAAAGGACCAGCAAACTGGCCGTGTTCCGGAGGGAGGGCAGCCTCTGTTTCATAAGGGATCCTGGTTCTTCTGCAATTTTCCAGCTCTGTGTCAGTGCAGTAAGCAAGGACAACATTCTGGATGTCTTTCAGGGAACTTGAACAATGTTTGACTATCTGTTTTTAGCAAGTAAATGATAAACCACTCGTGGAGGCTCAGCTGATGAAGTGATGCAATCGGACCCACCTCCTGAGGCTTTTTCTCCTACAAACAGCTGTCCTTGGCATCAGAGAGATTGGAACGTTGGCTGGTCCCTTGGTGGGAAGAGGAATAATGCATCTCCTTCATAATTATTTTTTTTCAAAAATTTTTACCGCTGTTTCTGTTACTATCAGAATAGATCCTGACTAAGAGAACGGAAAAACGATTTGCATTCTGGCCCCAGATAGCTCCGTGAGCAAGAGCTGTGGGGTATTTCATCAGAAATTGAAATCCAGGACCAAGTTCACATCCGGTGTAGGTCCTTTTGTAAAAGAGCTGATTGAATGTTAACTTTGGTTCCTAAGTTCTAAACCAAACTGTTTTGTGGCATTCACACCTCCCAGTGAGATAATAGTGAAGTCTTCCAGTTACGTAGCAGGAGGTGCTTTATGCAGAGGCTTTCCTTTGTATCATAGAAATAATGGTTTACCTCTCATGTAATTAAAGGATGCCCTGTATTTTCTTTTCTTTTTTTTAAAGTTGAAACAGTCAGTAGAAGTACCTGGAATAGGCTCTTTCCAAGGCTGAGGAAGTTGTTCTCATCAGGTGTGGAAGTGAGGATCTCCCGGGCATCCTTGATTTGGGGGAGGAGGTCAGTGAGAAGGGGGAGGGAGGTGCACGCGGAACTGCCTTCACGTCTGGGCTGTGGAGGTGGTTGCACCGTACCTGTTTTCCAGGCAGGCAGGTGTTTCTGGGGAAGACGGGGTGGCAGTGACCTTCCTCCTTTTTCAGCCCACACGCTCCATCTTTTGTTTGTTGCCCAGAAAATTGCCCTTTCTCCGCACTGCTAGTTTTATGCCTGGAGTCTCCGTGAATATTAGATTCACATTGCTGGCCATTGTGTAGTTCTGTATAATAGACCACTGATTCGTTGGTTTTCTTTTCATTTCACTAAGAACTGAGCAGCTGCTGTGCACCTGGCTCCTCAGTGCTTTCACGTACGTGAGTGACCTGTGAGCGCGTTCGGGATTCTGCGGGTTGGTCCCACACCACATCCATAAAACGAGTATTTCTGTAAAGCCGGTCATGCCAAACTTTTGGTTTCTCAGTGTGCACACAAGTTAGTTTCCACCAGACTGTAGTCTGTTAAGTGCGCCATAGCAGCATGTCTAAAAAATGTACATCCTGTACTTAAAAATACTTTATTGCTTAAAAAAATGTAACCATCACCTGAACTTTCGGAGTCAAAATCTTCTGAATGGTGGAGGGTTTGAAATATTTCGAGAATTGCCAAAATGTGATACAGAGATATGAAGTGAGTAAATGCTTTCGGGAAAATGGTGCCAACAGACTTGCTCTGTGTGGGGTGGCTACAAACCTTCAATCTATAAAAAACGCCATATCTGTGATGTGCGGTAAAACAAAGTCTGCCTGAACCTGACTCCACAGCGGTAGTGTGCTGTATGTGATTTTATCTGCACTTGACAGATGAAGAACTGAGTCTCGGTAAAATTAGGCAACTCAATCTAAGGTAGTTTTTTAAAGAAAAAGCAGTGAGTTGAAACAGATAAGCACATAGAAAAATATTTAATGTTGCTCTAGTAATTAAAGAAGTGTAAGTTAACACCTCAAAGTACTATTTTTCACTTATTTTTTAAAGTTAGAATATCCAATACTGAAAAGAATGTGGTGAAACTAGTACTTTAAATATTTCCAGTATCGTTGAAATTGGCAAGAGATACCTCATATTTTTTGTTCAGAGAGACATATTTTTTGCCAGATTGCCTCCCCTTAGGGACGAATCCAAAATATGGTTTAAAAAAATAAATATAATGCTCATTTTGATAGTGGTGTTTTAGTCATAGTAATAGAATTTTGGAAGCCACAGGAATGTTCAGCATTGGTACACTGATTAAGTGATTTTGTTCCATCTCTCGGTTGCATATTATTAAAAATAATAACTATGACGAATATAGCACCAACCTGGGAGAATATGTATCATGTAAGTGGAGAATTCAGGCTGTAAAATTGGATGCATCCTCTGATTCACTAGGTGGTAAGTCATATTTATGAGGAATGTCCAGCATGAAAATTGGATTAGCATGAAAGGACAGTGGGTGAAATTTTTCTTTCTCCTTCTTTATTTATAAAATATTCTCTATGGTTGGTATGTTACTTTAAACGAAGGATGATACATATTGATTAGGTCGCAGTTTCTTTGGGTCAGGAGTCTGGGCATTTCTCATGTCTAATTGGGAACCCAGAAGCCCTCTGCCCGGGGTCTAACACCACTGTAGTCAAGGCGTTGGCTGGGCTGTGTTCTCATCTGGAACCTTGGGTGGGGGAGAATCTGCTTCCCGGCTGGTTCAGGTTGTTGGCTGAATTCAACTGACAGGCCTGAGGACTGTCAGCTGGGGGCCACCTCTGGGTCCTAGGATGCTCTGCCACGTGGACCTCCACATACGCTGTTCACAACACGGCAAGTTATTTCTTCAATGCCTCTCTCCAGGCACAAAGTCTAGTATATTACATTTTTAATTAAAAAGTTTTAGAAAGCATGTCCTTCCCAGTATCACATGACAAAGCAAGATTTGAACCTAGTCCTTTCCATCATTTTACGGTGATCCTCGTTGATTTGTGGGTCTTTTATTGGACAGGCTCACAGAAAACCACCCACATGGGAATGGCGATGTAACATTTATGGAGTGATGACTATGTACTGGATACTGTTTTAATTTTTTGTATTTTATGTAAGTAATCTTCTTTTCGGTCATGTTGTAGCTGTTCTTAATACCCCCATTTGCAGTAAGCGAGTGGAGGCACAGAGGCTAAGACAGTTATGGAAGCTCCGGTAAGCGGAACCAAGCTTTTTACCTATTAGCATCACTCCAGACACCATACTCTTATCCCCTTGGCTTTCCAGC